AGAAACCCAAAGTACAAATATAGAATAAAATGAAGGATTCATAATAGGAAACATGGAGATTGGTCCTTCCTTTGTATATACAAAATAGGATAGATATACAGCTACTTTCTCTTAATTCAATGAGAAGAAAGATTTGTACTAATAGTATTTGGACAAGATATCATGTCTGCATCTTGTACTATGAATAACCACTACGAAGACAACAATATGCAATGTATTAATTAATGAAACTGTCCTTCTAATCGGTTTTGAAACTGTCTCATTGCTATTTGTTTTTCAATAAAATTAATTTTAAAAAAACATAAGGGCATGGAAACAAAAGGCTATATGATAACATGGGAGGCTGCTTGTTGGTTCTCCCAGATTGGAATCAATTAGAGAATGCTTGCTGGAAGCTGGCATCTCTTTGTGACAAAATGAACTTCAACAGGACCTTATAATTTGAAAGCTACCCCAGAGTAACAAATGAGAAATACCATTATACAGTTCTTGGTGTTCTTGCATATACCTTCCCAACTGGGATAGTGTCAAATCAAACAGAATTCAATTGACTTTATCCTAAAGCCATTTACAAAAATTTTAAGACGGGATCTCATATTGTAATTCAAGCTGACCTTGAATTTGGGCCAATCCTCCTCACTTGGCTAAAATAATAGCTGGCAACTGATACAGTCCAAGATATCTTAGGAAAAAAAAATGATACAGTCCCTACAATAAAATATTTGGATGGATTTAAATTTTTGGAAAGATTGCTAACAGGTTATTTTACATCTTAATATAATACACAGTGCATTTCCTGAAACTAAGTGCTACACCAAATATAAGCATTACAAGTTTTAGTATTAGTTAACCTAATGAAGCTGATAAACTAAAACACAGTAAGTTACTTTAAAAAGTGAAGTTTTCAAATTTAGTTTACTCTAGTGATATTTAAATAATATAATTCTTTAAAAACAAAATTATATAAATAATTTATAATTTATAAATTATATAAACAAAAGTTATGTAGTGTTATCTAAGCAGTATTTATGATGGTTTTGTGAATATACTTACTATTGACTCCATTATTAATTATTCATGCATTTGCTCATGTAATATTTTAATTTGGAAAAAAGAAAAATGTTAAATTCAGTAACCTTAAAAGGGTAGACTGATATTAATAATAATCTCTATTACTCATTATAGTTAGCATCATACCCTTGACACAATTTATGCCTGCAAAAGAAGCCAAGAGTCACTGGTTCACTGGAGACAAGAGGAGGGGGATAAAAAGTGAAGAAAATGAAGAGGAAGTTTAGGAGGGAGAAGAGAAGGGAAAAGAGAGAAGGAAACAGATAATAATGATAATGGGTTAAAGAACTATGAGGTCAAAAGAAAGAGGGTGACATACACAGGATAAAGTTATATACGTGTGGGAACAGGGAGATAGCTCAGTAGAATAAGCACTTGCCTCGCAAGCACAAGGGTCTGAGTTCAATCCCCCGTTCTGCCAAAAAAATAAAATAAAATGAAGTTTGGTTTTTTTTCCATAATTTTATTGAGAGACAAATAGCAATGAGACGGTTTCAAGTCAAATTGGTATGACAGTTTCAATAATTAACAGACTGCATATTCTCTTCCTAATGGTTATTTGCTGTACAAGATGCAGACATGATATCCTGTTTACAAACACTATTAAAAATGAAGTTATATATTTGTGATCATACATATAACTGGACAAATCAGAACAGGAAATGGAACCATGTTATTTTACTGGAACATCAAAAAATCAGAGACCTGTTAAACCAGAAAAATCCTTGGAGAATATATTGTCCATCTTCTTTTCTACCAAGCATTGTCGCTATTCCCATCTTGCCTCAACCTTATAAACTTGTGTGGGAAGCCCTAAATCTATTACATATTGTTGCTTTAACCTAGAAAGTATTTTTCCTCTGGTACTGGTGATTAAGTCCAGGGGGACTCTACCATCAAGCTATATCCCCACGCCTTCTTAGTTTTTATTTTGAGGCCAGGGTCTCCCTAAATTGCCTACATGGGGCTGGGACTTACGATCTTCCTGCATCAGCCTGTCAAGTAGGAAGGATTTACAGGAGTATGCCACCACACCAAGCTTGGTCTAGAAAGTCCTATAAAAATTGAGAAAGTGTTAATCTTGGGAATCAACTTCCCTCAGTGAACTGTGGAGAAATGACATGCAAACACATAAACATAAATTGACTTTTTTTTTTTTTTTTTTTTTTTTTTTTTTT